TCATTTTTTTTAAATTCATTATTTTTTACTTTTTATCATTATCATATATTTTCTTTTATATTCATAATCTATTTCTTCATCATTTTTATTATCAGCTTCTTTATCTATTAAAGTTTATTATTATCTTCTTTTTCTAATAATTCTTTTTATGAATTATTATTATTATGTTAAAAATGATATAATTCATCATATTGAAAATCTATATAATTATCCTAAATATTTGGATTGTAAACCTTGAATATTATAATATTCAAAACTAAATTTATGAAATTAAAATTTTTTATAGAATTCGTAATATGTATATTAATTTTATAATATTAAACTTTTATAATATTTAAAAAATAATTGTTATTTTTAATTGAATTTATTAAAAAAGTAATGTTTGTTATTTCTATTTTATTTTACTTTTTATTGTTAATTTTATTTATATATTTTTTATTAATACTTAATAAAGAAAAGGTATTATTAATTTTTTTATAAATAATTATTAAATTTTAAAACAGGTTTTAGGATTTAATTTGAAACAATATTAAAAATTTGATAATTTAAAACTTTATTATTATTTTAAAATAGTTTTAACATAATTTTAACATTTTTTTGATATTATTATATTTTTTTGAAATATTATAATTTTATTTAAAAAATAGATTGTATTTTTAATTATTGAAACTTTTGATTTATAATTAAAATCAGTGTTCAGTTATGATCTGATTATTTGATCATTTAAATGATCTGTCTATTCCTTTGTCATAATGATAAATCATTTAGCATTTGTCATTTTGCAAATGATTTAAATGACAAATAATAAACAATCAAGATCATTTAAAATCATTTAAATCATTTGTCATTTAGTTATTTGCTTTTACAAAAATTTAGCAATACTCTTAAAGAATCACAAATTCTTAGCAAAATTTAGATAATTCTTGATTCTATAAGAGTTTCACAATTTTATCTCCTAATGATAAAAAATCATTCTAAAGGATAATAGAGAATCATTCCAGTAGAATGATAGAAGAATTGTTCTAAAGGAAAACGATTAAAAGCATCATTTCTTAAGAACGATAAAAGATCATTTTAATAGAAATGATAATACATCATTCCTAAGAACAATAAAAGTTTATTCTAAAGAAACAATAAAAAGATCATTTGGGAGGTGATCTATTAAAAATGTATTACAGGAACCTTTCATTAAAAAATGAGATTTTTGATTCATATTATAGTATATTAAATGAACTTTATTTGATTAAATTTTTAGAAGCTATTAGCTTATTAATAAAACAAGTAATTTAGCTGACAAATTTCTGTGTAATGTTAATCAAATATCTAAAATTAGATTTTATAGAAATGATCAACGTAAATTTTAGTAATGATTGACAAATGATCGACATATATAAAATGTTTCAGAGTATGGTTTTAATAGCAAAATCTCAAAAATCTCTCGTATTACAAAATTAATATAACAATATTTTCGACATGGCAGATTTAATAGCAAAATTTTAGATAATTTATAATTTCATTATTTTTAAAATAATTTAAATATTTGTAAAAATAATTATTATAATAAAATGTTATATATATAAAATTAAAGTATTACCTTATTAATTGATTAGACTCAATATTATTTTTAATGCAATTTTTTATTAGTTAAGTATGTTTATTGTGACATAACTATTTTTTGATCATTAATTACTCAAAATCAATTTACTAGTCCTGTAACCCATTTTTAATAGATCAGCTTCCATTTTTAAAAAATAATAAAAGATCGTTCTAAAGAAATAATACAAAAAATCATTTCGGTAAAATGACATTATATTATTCTAAAAGAATAATACATAAAAATTGTTCCTTAAGAATGATATTATATCATTTTATTAGAATGATAAAAAAATCATTCTTTAAGAATGATAAAAGATCATTCTAAAGAAATGATATTATATTGTTCTAAAGGAACGATACAAAAAATCATTCTAATAGAACAATAAAGATTATTCTAAAGGAATGATACTTTAATCTTTTCTTTAAATGATTCTTCAATCGTTCTATTATAACGATGCTTTTAATCATTCCTTTAGAATGATTTTTCTATTATTTTATCAGAACAATATTTTTAATCATTCCTTTAGAATGATTCTTCTATCTTTCATCTTAATGATACTTTTAATTATTCCTTTAAAATAATTTTTCTATAATTCTATCAGAATGATACTTTTAATCATTCTTTTGAACAAAGTTACAAATTATTTGATTTTTAACTTAAGTTTAGCACTTAACTTAGCTTGATTGGACTTGTCTGACTTATAATTTGAGTTGACTCATTCAAAACTTGAATATAATTTATATAATTTAATATACTTTTATATATTATATAAAATATTTGCCCAATATTAAATAATTTTTTTAATATATATAATTAATATTTTAATAAATTTAACTTATTTACACTATAATAAATAAAATAAATAACAAAAATTTATAAATCATATTCTATTTATAAATTATTGAAATGACTGGTCATTTGTCATTTGTCATTTAAGTCATTTGCCAATATAATCATTTGGTAAACACTGATTAAAGTTACTAGATGAAATCTAAAGTTTAGATAGACATTAAAATAATAAAAAAAAATACATATTTTTTTATTTAAGTAAAATAAGAATAAATCAAATAAAAGTACAGTGAACTCTTGATATAACGAATTCTAGGATTTGGATATCAACTTCATTATAAGCTTATAATGAATTTTTTAAAGAATTTAATTGGCTAGTTCATTATAGTAAGGTAATTTTAATATATTTGATTTAAAAATTCGCTATATCAAGGGTTCGCTATATCTAGGTTTGACTGTATATAGTAATAAAAAAATAATATATATAAAAAAAGAAAAAAATCAAATATAAAAATGAATTTAAATATATATATATATAAAATTATTCTAAAAAGATAATATGGGTGGTATTCTATTAAAATTGAATTATGAGATATAGCAAATCATATGATCTGTACCTTAATTTTAATAGCACACCACCCATATAATAATTGGTAAATAATATAATAATTGGTTACCATAAATTTATTAAAATATTAAAATATTTAGAGATATATTATATTTCTATTAGAAATGATCAAAGATGTAGCATATTACTTCTTTATTAAATCAATAATTTTTGAAAAAAAATATAATTATTAGTTATCATGATTATTGTATATTAAAATATTTAAAAATAAAAAATATTATCAACTGAACTGGCTAAGAACATAGTATTAACGTCATTTTTTATAGAATAAGAATTAAAAAATTAAATACCATAAATATCAAAATGGCAAAATTATAAATATAAATGATATTTACTAACTGAGATAGTAAACTTAACATTATCTTCTAAAGAAAAAAATAATTAAAAACCATATATATCAAAATGCCAAAATTTTAAAGATAAATTATATTTATTATCAGAATCAGCCACATCCTCATCATCAATCAAATCTAAGGTTGCTATCCTAAACCACTAAAAATAGTTATGGTTAAATAAAATTAGTTTTAATAGTTTCAGTTATTAACTAAACTAGTTTCAGTAAGTCTAAACTACAGAATTTTAGTTTCGAACAGCAAACTCTAGTTAAATCAATAATATCGATTCTATTTTCTAAAAAAAGTAATAGATTAATTAAATATCATTAATATCAAATTGTTAAAATTTTATAGATAGATGATATTTAATAGTTATTCGGCACTTCGTGCCGAATAACTATTATATTGGGAAAATCAAATTTGAATGGTTGATTTTTGGCTCCGCAGGAGTCCCGAATCACAAATCAAATTTGATTTTCCCAATATTATTAGCTACCTTGTAGGTAGCGGTAGTTATTCGGCTCGAAGTGCCGGATAAGTGATTTATCCGGTATCCCGTGATTTTTTATAATTAATAATGACTATAATAAATCAATTATCAGGCAAAAAATCGGTTATCAGGCAAAAAAATCATTATCAGGCATTAATAATTTTTCTTAATGCCTGATAACCGATTTTTTGTCTGATAATCGATTTATTATAGTCATTATTAATTATAAAAAATCACGGGATACCGGATAATTACTTTTATTTTTCTAAAAAAAAAATTTATTAATGCATAATTTCAATTAACAAATATATTTATTACCTCCTTCTCGCGTTTAGTCCCTTCAGACTTATGATCATAAGCATCGGTTAAAACAAAACATATATAATATATGTATAATTACTAATAGAATTCTTTATATTTACCTGCATTACCAGAACGTATGTCAAATTCATTAAAATATTTATGTTCAACCTAGCTTCATTTGTTTCTGGTATCACTCGAACATATTCTGATCAGAAAATAAAATATAAATATAAGTGTTAATATTAATAATATAAAAGAATCCTTTTATCAATGATATTCCTAGAAAAATATTACAAATGATTTGAATTTAATAATTAAAAATAAATGTTAAATTATTTATATATTTAAGTATTTACTTGATTTCTTCATTTTCACTCATCAATGAGTGCGTGAGTTGATTTGCTATCCCACCTTATCATCGAAGCAGAGGAAGAGCGAGTTGAATGAGCTGAAGAGTTCATTTTTGATTTGAATTTTGAATTTATAAAATTGAAAATTTTAAAACTTATTTATATAACATTAAATTTTATTCAACGAAATACGTCAGTAATCGTATTATTAATTCAAATTTAATTTATGCAATCATTGCGAAAAAATTAAAAAATTCTAAAATTCATAATTTTTATTTACGAGTTTGACGTTCCTGGTGATTACTAATTAATATTATAATTCAGCCCCCTAATTATTATAGATAATAATGAAAAATGATGATAAAAGATTAAGTTTTCTAAGGGAGACGAAGTCCCATAAACCGCTAACTAGTTATAATTTTTAAGATTTAAGATTTTAAATTCAATCAAATTTTTTTTTTGCGTCAACGATTGTGTATATATCATTGAAAATGAAAGATTCCTGCATTCATTTTTTCGTCTCGCGAATAACAATCGATTTCTTTGTATGTAATACTGGTTTTTCTTCATAGGTTTTCACGACTGAGTCGAATTTTCTTCAAATAAAATTTTATAAACTGAAATTAAGAAACTTTCGAAATTTCATTAAATAATTAATAATTCTGGAAATCACGAAATTTATAAATATGGGAGATATTCAGTAAATACAACACAAAACCACTTTGAAATTTTGAAACAGAAAGTGTCGTTTCAAATCATGTAAGAAAATGTTCATGAATGGCAGTATAATAGAATTACAAATATTTATTTATTATTATTATTATTATTATAGTATGATGATTAATTTATTATTATACATAAAATTTTTTAAATTCATTTAATATTATCTTATTAACCCTTAATTAACGATAACAATTCTTTAACATCATTTTGCAACATCTTCATCTCGTCTCTTAATTTCAAGAATTCATTATTCGTGACAATATTTTTATCCTCATGATCATTAACGGTCAATCTAAATGTTTGAACATCTTTACCTTCATTTGCTGTTACATTATCTTCCTGATCATCATCATCCGAATCATCCGAATCATTAGTACCTTTTAAGATTTGGCTATTAATATCTTCAACAAGTAAAGATTTATGAGTTTTCCTATATTTTTCAGCTTTATCCAACCATTCCTCTTGATATTCAGAACTTCCAACATAATAAATATATCTCGGATTCCCTCTTAAACTACCAAATGGTTTTTCTAACGTTTCATAATCAGCGATTAAATCAGCTCTATAACTTAACACCGCTACCTTTACATTATTTCTTGCATTTTCGTACACACCCGTCATAAATGCGACCAACAAATTCTGCATGATGATGACCAATAAAATACTTGCGGCTAAAAATAAAAAAAAAATTTTTAATTTTAACATAATGAATATTTAACATGCTAAACTATCAATGAAATATTTACCTATACTAAATACGTAAATTGGCCAGAAATCCCAAACTTCTAATTGATCCCATCTTCCAAGAATCCAAAAATAAACTCCCATAACAGCGTACGGAAACTTTACATAATAATTATCGATAGGTTTATCTATATCAAATTCTTGTGTAATTTTCGTGTCTATGGTACTGTCCGGATTTGGATCTTCTATCACAAAGCTGTTGCCGTTAGGTTGCAAACCAATACTTGCAGGGTCTTTTAATATGACATGCTAATTTTTTTTAAATTGATTAAAAAACAGATTTTCAGTTAGCAAACTCAGATGATAAAAAGAAAGAAATAATTTAATTAAATCATGCATACCATTGCATGACCGAAAGCAACGGTTGTCATTAACTACACAATGTTTTTTAAAAAAAATAAATAAATAAATTGATTAATTATACATATACTTCATTTATGTAATACTTATAATTGTATAATAAAAAAATACCATAAAAATTAGGAATGGCCAAATAGCTTTTAAAATGTTTATAATCATGTTAATATAAGTCGCAGTAGCTTTAAATAAATAAATAAAAAAGGTTAATTGATAATACACAAATTAAATTGTAAACATAAAAAAGAAATTTACCCGAAAAGAATCGCGTCAGCAATAACTAATTAAATAAATTAATAATTAAAATCACTGTGATATAAAAAATAGGAAGCAAATTGATGGTACTTACTAATTCAAACCATAAAAGCAAGACCGCAAATGCTATTTGAATATAAACTTCTCTAATACCATCACTCATTATTACACCATGATCTTTAAGGACTTGTTCAATATGAGCGTCTGGATAAGGATCATTTTCGTCATAATTAGGATCATTTAACACGATTTGAATCCATTTATAGATTATTACTTTATAGTTTATCATTGTAACCAATGGAAGAATAATTGATGCGAGATCAAGAAAATTATATATGCTCCAATATCTTTTAAAACCTTCGTATCTCAATTGTACAAATTCCGTCGCCAAAAGATAATATCCCATATAGAAAAATATAAATAACAAGATAGCATGAAGTAAATTACTATCATCTTTGATTTCAAATATTCCAGAAACTAATGCAAAGGTGAACGAAAAAAATATGAATAATAAAAAATGACGTAAAAAATGATTTCTCGCTGCACTCCATTTAAAATCAATGCATGCCTCCATTGCTGGATTGTCAAATAATTGTTCATTTTCATTTTTTCTTAAAAGCCTTAGAAAAGGGCTACGTTGATCTTGACGTCGAACCAAATAACCTCTTGGCCAAAATATGAGCTTGATAAGTTTTAACGGAATCATCCAATTACTATGCTTTCTATCAACAGCATTTTCTGGATAGACTGTAAAATCCGGTAACGGAACTACGCGCACTGTCGTTATTTGCGTAACCTCTTCATCCGTTACTTTTGATCTTCTTTTAAGATTCTTCGACTTAAATGTATTCCACAATGAAGACTCATTTTGCTTCAATAGAAGTCGTGGTTTCAAATTTAATGAACAAATTTCCGATTTATATCCCTTTTTCAATTTATTTTGTGAAATAAATTTTGAATCTATATGTTCTTCTTTAGATCCAAAGCAAGGCTTGTAAAATAACTCCTTTAAATAAGGTTCTGTATTTTAATAATGTAAATATTTTTTCAGATAAAGATAAGTATTAAGAACGTAAACCACGTAGCGAGGAAATGTTCCTTTTACATACCAAAGTAACGATTGTTAAGAAAAGGAAGAGCCTTCGTCACTGTAAACATCCAACCTATCATAGACGGAATGTTTTATTAGTGATAAACTTCGGATGCTTGTATGAAAAATCAATTAACTCACCCGTATCTTTTTCCGCATTATTTGAATAGTATTCGAGCAACATGGCGACGATAACTGTATCCCTACGAAGCCCACCAGAAGATTTTTCAATAGCAATCATTAAATCACTTTCTTTCGCTCTCATAGGCCATTGATATTCCCTTGGGATATGTAAGTAACGACTAATTTTCGTTTTATCTTGTTTCTTGTCATCTGCTTTTTTATATTCGAATAGAATCTGATGTAATAACGATATATATTTTGATCGGATGACATTGGTCATAATGTCATATCGTATTTCAGATAAACTCCATAAACCAGGATTTTTTTTGACGCACTTTTTAATAAGTTTTTCCGTGTCCGCAACTAAATCTTCATATTTTCCTTGATTTTTCGGCCCTACAGGCTCATCTCTTCGTTCGTAAAGATACTCCATAGCAACGCATGCGTCTTTGAGGACATGAGCTTCATTTGGCCAATGAATCTTTACGCTTTGACTTAAATTAGCGGCAATCGTTGAAGGCAATGTTAAATCTAATAAAAATTCACGTTTTCCAATCTTTAGAGATGCTACTGTAATCATTTTATTACTTGGATTCACCCAAATATATTCTAAAACTTTTTTATTTATAGAACCATGACCTTTTTTACTCCAAACTTGAACTGTTGTTTCTCCAATTATAAGTTGAATGGTTTTTTCTTCATCAAGATAAGTAGAAATACGTTTATACTGCTTGTGATGAATCCAAGGCTCTTTATTATTGACGACTAATACGCGTTTATGCTCTTTCTTAGCATCCAACATTATTCCATCTTGTTGAAAGATTGTGTGAAAGATTTGATCCATTTTCAATGAATTTTCTTGAACTTGGTTAATGTTAATTGGAAGAAGGTCATGAGAAATATAAGGTTTTAATTTACTTTTAACATTCGATAATTCAAGGACCGAACAAATAGTCCCATCCTGTAAAGTTGCGAGTATAACTCCATTTGAAAAAACTATAGAGTGACTAATAGACTTTTGTAAGGAACCAAAAATGTTTGATTGGTCGTCAAACTTTCGTATATCATTCTTAAAAGTGAAAAGATCCAAAATATTTATCATTGGAGTGAATTTAATTTTTCCATTTTCACCATATCCGGATGCTTCTTCAGTGACAACGAATAATCTTTCATCATCGTCAATAAATGAAATTGAAAGGATTTTGTTTGCGGTTGTAAATATTTTAGTTGTAACTTCAAGTCCATTTTCCATTAAATGAATCGTAATACTCTTTGTACCATTACAATACGCTAATAAATGACCATATTTTGAAATGGAGAAAATGGGATTTCCACGCGCTTGCGTTGAAAGAGAAATTTCATCACGCTTTCGTAATGTTAACTCTAGATCCAGTGATTGTAAATTATACAATTCAAGTCTTTGGTTCCTATAATCTTCAACAAACAAAAAATTATTCACAACAATGCTATTTAAAAACCTCGTACAAGGAGATTCTTGATATAATTTATCAATTTTATTTTGAATGGTTGTTGGAAATTCATATACTTTCGTGACGCAACAATCTTTAAATATTGATTTATTGATAACGCAAGGATTCTTATGGTTGATGAAAGCTTTTGCAATTCCAGACGCGTTCATGACAATTAGATTTGTAAATCCATTCGATTGATCATCTTTTTCCGAATTGTTCAAAAATCTAACGATTCCACCGTACTTATCAACAGTAGTTTCGATACGTTTGTCTAATTTCACTGAATAAACAAAGGTTTCAGCTGAAATTTTTGTTTTAAAATCATCCCCCCTTTCCGCATCTGTAGGATTTCTTGAATTTTCGACCGAACCATTATCCTCAGTTTCTGACATCATATCTTGATCACAAAAACATGATATTGCTACGAATGCATCTTCTACTTCTTGAATAATTGAGGAATTGGAAATGGCCAAAGAAAAAGATATCTTCACAGAAGGTAAATTCAACCTTCTCATTTCATCATAATGTATTTTGTTAGGAGCGGTTAAATTGTTGACGTAGTAAATTTTAAGTTCATAAGATTCTAAATCGTAAATAAGTCGAATGAATGCAATTGAATGTCAAAATGGAAAGGAAATATAATCAATTTCAAAAATTCATACCAGAATTAAAAGTCGCAGCAAGCTCCCCGTTCGGACTGATGGCCAAATAATTGGACGAATGATCATCGTCTATAAATTTCGATTCCCGACTTTGAAAACTATATAATGATCCCATATCGGAATTATTTAAACTAATATGGTTCTCCTTTTTATCATCCATTTTTTCATAAAAAAAATATATATATGAAATATTTTATTTTTTATATTTACATTCGTGAAATTAATAACTGAGTTTATATACATTCACAAAAAATAACTAAATATGACATTTGTTTTATTTAGAATAATATGATTTGTCGGAGTAAGATTTTCGGAGATATTTTGTCTACTGTGTTTCATATTTTTATGTCTGTTGGCGTTTTTACATTTTAGTAAAAAAAGATTTTATTGAATTCCTTTTTTTTTTAAATTGAAGATCATTTGTTTGTTACAAAAACTACAATAAGTAAATTATTTGTATGACCAATTTAGAATTTGTCACTAGTATTAATTACTAGCGAGTTAAAAATTTTTAAAAAGATCATATGATTTTTGTTTATTATTAAACAAATTAATTTAATATATTTAATTAGCTAATGCATATTTGTAAAGGGAGTGCGTGCATTTTTTTTTTGGTCGGATATTCCACTTTCTTTCATATCTAACCTAAGAACACATTCATAAAAGATTGTAGTTAAAGTTATTTTTATTTTAGTTCAAATATTCAAATAAAAAATATAAAATTCGAGATTTTATGGTAAACTGAATAAATATGACCCATGTCTCAATACAATTATTTAAATTATTTAAAAAAAAAAAATATTTAATAAAAAAATGAAAGTTTTTTGAAACAAACATTCAATAATACAAATAAATGCCATGCGATTATCACAGCTTTTGTATCTGACGCAATAAATAATCCAAAAGAAAGAGCTTCGCCGCGCAATTTGGAAAGGATAAATGATATCTAATAATATTCATGCTTCAAAAGGGTTTACTGTTTAGTGACAATCAAATTGCTACTTTTATTTAGAATCCTGTATAAAATAGACTTTGGTTTGAAAGAGAATTTTGGATATCTTTTTGAGGCCTAATACAGACCCCTGAGTGTGTGACCATCGTTTGATACTCGTCTCTGTAAAACTTACTTCAACAGAGGTAACACAATGCAACTTAATGAAATGATTGGTCAAAAAATTAAAGCCAATTTAAAGGAATTCAAAAAAAAAACACATTGATATTACCTGATAATGTATATCCACGTTTCAAATATCTTTCATGATGCGAATACCAAATGAAGGGAGGTTTTTATCATTATTTATTCAACAAAAAGTTATTTTGATAAAAATCTAAAAATCACAAATCAACAAAATAATAAGTTAACGGCCTATATCAATACTCATCTTAATGAAATTATCTTTTAACAAATTCCAACCAACCATCTGTAATTGATTCAATTATCCAAAAAAAAAAAAATAAGTATAATTATATATGAACTAGCGAGTATTAGGTATCGCAACTTCGATTTTTCGGTTCACGTTATCCGGCCGGTCACTTTTTCAAATTTTAATAAAAAAAAAGTTTATTTATAAAAAGTTTATCACGTGACTATAAAGTGTAATTTTATTGTATTGTATTATCATTATCGTTATGTATAATTCCTTTCATACAACTAATTAGTTTCAATATTTCTTTGTTTACCAGTTACAAATTTCTTTTCTTTCCTTCCTCTTTTTTTATTCCTAACTGATGTGTTGCATTCTTCACAAATGGAAAATACTCATCATAGTTAATATGTTCTTCATATTCTAAACCACAGTTAAAACAAAGTGCTTCTTTAAACAATTCACTTGAATAATATGAAACTTCAATAGGACTATTGCATGTTAAAGTATTATCAACTTTAACATTAGAGAATAATTTTTTCATAGAATTATTTGTACTATTAGAATCCTGTACATTTGTAGAATTAGCTAAGTTATAAAATGTATTACCACATGTATATTGAATTACATCTAAAAATCTTATTAGCTCTTCTTTTTCTTCTGAAGATAATTTTGATTATAAATAAATTACACACCATTTTTGTCACATTCTTCACATTGAATCAAAGTGCTAACATTTTTACAATTTTGTGCATTAGATTTAAAGCCCATTTTATTCTTAGACTTCTTTATCTCATTTAAAGAAGATTTATGTTCTTTTGTAGTTTTCTGACCATATAATTCTTCAAAACCTTTATATTTTTGACATCTATCGTTGGAATTGAATCTGAAAAATTATGAAATTTAAGCCAAGTTTCATGATCACATAGTTTACATATATTGCATTCTAATGATCTACATTTTTTAATTTCAAAAAAATAATGTTATAACCTATAAGAATGATTGTAAAGTTATAAAAGATCAGATTTATTCTGAATACTTTTCTTTGAATTATCTTCTATTGTTAAAGAATTATCAATCAAAAGAAGTGAATTCTATAATATAATTATCCTTTATCAGAAACTGCTTTAAAAATATCAAATAGTTCTTTCTTTAATTCAAGTCTTTCATTAAATTTACCATTAATTTAATAATAGGATATAAACTATTTAATAATTGTTCTTTTAATTGTAATTCCTCCTTAGCTTTATTTTTAATATCTTCCATTGAATTATAATATTACATAGTTATTTCACATTTTTCATTCATTTCTGCTTTCATTAGTCTTATACATTGTAATTTTAGATTTAAAATAAATATTATGTATTTTACAAAATTTTTTTAAGAATTTCCTAGTGGTATACATATTCCTACTATATAATAATACCATTAATATCCCTTAATATAATACCCACTTGAAAATAATATCAGAATATTAATTCAATCATAAAAATTAAAAATACCTGAGAATTATTTAATAAACTAATCAAATTATATTATAATTTTAAATATAATTATACCAATATCAATGCATTAAAAGCATATATTTTTTTTATTAGTTTACCACTGATAAATCATTATTTATAAGAAATTTTAATTAAACTTAATTATAATAAATTTCTTTTGCATATTTTACAATAAGTATGAATATGATGATTTTTTATATCACATGCGAAATACATTGTAATCCTTTTTTTATGATCAGTTGATTTGCAATAACTTGTTTGACTTTTATATTGCTTTAGTTAATTTTCTCTATTTTATCTTTAGAGCTTTCATAATTAATTATCGTGATTAATAGAGTATTGGAAAATTGTTGCATCAATTCTTCTTCAAACCAATATTCTTCATCATTTTTGAATTCAGTTTCTAAAGAAATATGCTATTTACTTTTTTTTCCACTTGAAGTATCATTATTCCATTGAGATTCTTTCTTAGAATTAGGATTGATTATTCTGATCATTAAACATTCATTGGGTTGTTCTTCATCTTTATCATATATTTGAAACAAAGCATTCACATTAGCATTATACTTTCCTGCTCTGTATTCTATAATAAAGTGATATTATTATAATTCCATTAACCATTTTACATGCCTTCCTTTTGGCAATTTGGATGTCTTTAACCATTTTAATTAGGGTTGGTAAAAGTCTTAATTGGTCCTAATTGGTTCTGATTAATTTTAAAAAAATTATTAGTTATAAAGGTTAAATTTTTTTAAATATTATCATTATATTATATTTTTTAATTAAAATTACTTATTAAAATAAGTTTAAATTTCTTTTTAAAATTTAAAATATCTTTAAAATTTTAGACCTAGGACCTAGGTCTTAGGACCAGATTCTAAATTAAGTATATATATATTTATTATTTTTAAAGAATTTTTTTATTTTAAGTTAATAAAATAATTGATATATAATAATTATTAAAAAGATTTATTTATTATTAAAAAATTTAATTAATAGTATATAAATTAAAAATTATCTTTAAATTCTTTAAGACCAATTAAGACTTATTAGAACTTTTACCAACCCTAATTTTAATGCTACATCATCAATTACCACTATAAATAGTCGACTAAGGTAATGATGGAATTGTTTAATAGTATAAACAATTGCTAAACATTCTAGATCAGTAATTGGATAATTTTCTTCTGCCTTGTTGGTAAAACGACTAGCATAAGCAATTACAAATGCTTTTTCTAGTTTCTTTTGAACAAGAACAGCTCCTAACCCTTTTTTGATGCATTTATATATAAAGTGAAAGGTATTTCAAAATCTGGATATTATAAGATGAGTGATTTTATAAGCCTTTCCTTTAGTTTATCAAATGCATATTGTTGCTTATCTTTCCGTTTGAATAGCTGGTTCTTTTTAGTAACATGATCATTAGTTTTGCATATCTTGAAAATAATCCTAATACTACATGTAATTGAATTAAATTCTTGGGTTTTGAAAAGATTTTGATCTTATAATTTTTTCTAGGTCAGGTAAAAGTCCTTCTTGACCAACTTTATGTCCAAGAAAAGTGAGATGGGGTTGGCAGAAATGACATTTCTTTAATTTTATTGATAATTATGTATTTCTTAATACTTGAAAAACTTGTTATATTTGATCAATATGTAATTCAAAAGATCCTTTTGTGTAAATAATTACATCATCTTAGTAGACTATCACAAATATTCCAATAAAATCTTTTAAAACCAATTCATTAGTCATTGAAAGATGCATGAAACATTGTTTAATCTGAAAGGCATGACTAAAAATTCATATAGTTCATGAGTGATAATAAATGCAGTTTTTCTATATCTTTAGGATGCATAGCCACTTGCCAATATCTACTGGCTAAATCTAATATGGTAAACCAATAAACTCCACCTAAAGAGTCTAATAAGTCATCGATTCTTGGTAAAGGATAAGCATAAATTTTGTTATTGTATTTAGCTTGCGATAGTCTATACAAAGTCTTTTATCGCCTTTTTTCTTTCCAACTACTACAACTGATAAGGCCTATAGGCTATAAGATAGTCAGATTATCTTATTTGTTTCCATTCATTTTAATACTTCATTTAAAAATTTGGCATTTTCTGGATTTGTCTATAAGGTTTTTGGGCAATTAGTACTGCATCTCCAGTATAAATATGATATTTAATTTCTGTGGTTCTTCTAATTTCCGTTTGACTTTTTGCACAGATATCAGTATATTTGACTAAAAGATCTTGGAATAATTGTTGTTGGTAGTCATCAAATGGTTCTATTTGTTCGAATGAAATAATTTCCTGTTTCACAATAAATTCTGCTGCTTCAGTAAGAAAAATTGCTGGGTTAATTTCTTTAGAATTATCTTCTATTTCTTTATTATCAGTATATTCTTCTGAATTTATTAGAGAATGGTAGTTGTTTCAGGGATTAAATTCCAATTCATTAGTGTTGTCAGATTCTGATTCAAAGCATTCATCTAATAGGTAAATAGAATACTCTTCTAAGAGTTTATCCTTATAATCATCCTCTTTGTCAGTTTTCTCTTCTTTCTGGGTTACTACTTTATAAGTTATTGTGAAAGTTACAGGGATTCGTATGACATATTTCCCTTGTTTAATAGTTAGAGTAGATTGTTCCCAATTCATGTTAGCATTAGTTTCTCTTAACCAATCATTTCCAAGAATAAGGATCTCATTCTTTGATTCTAAAACTTGGAAGGATGTTAATACTTAAATTTTTCCAATGTTAACATGTACATTATCAATAATTCTGAGAAAACAAGTTCTGGCTCCATTTGCAGTTACTACGATCATTTTTGAAGAGCAGTGGATTACAAGTTCAAGTTTGTCTAATAATGACTTAGTGATAATACTGGTAGCAGCACTGCTATTGATAATTGTAACTTGTGCTTTTTGTCCAATTTGAAAGATGCATTAAGCAACAGTGGTTGATTCGCTATTACTTTCTGCTAAATTTGCTTCTTTAGCATCCTTTTCTCTTGAATGCCTAATAGCTCGAGGTAATCCTGATTGATATTTAGGAATTGCATATGCTGCTAGTCCTACAGAAAATCTCATTAAAACTAAATATAATAAATTTTAATTACGTCATTTATATAATTATTATTTACCAATTTACAGTATATAATTTATTCATTAATTTAAATATGATGTTCTTGAGATCATTTACTAAGAGGATTGGCTAATTAAAATTACAGTATTGTTGATAAACAAAATAATTATCACTACATTCTTTCCATCTTCCCAATCACATAGTAGATTTTGTAAATATGTAGAAACTTTAAATTCAGTTAATTATTCGATAGATATTAGTAACAATCTTTATCAAAGTGCTTTCTCTGTTTTTTCTGTGACAATTAGTTTAGGTATGATTTGTTCAAGTTCTATTTCTTCTTCAAGTATATTAGGACTAAAATGTTGAGTCATAGTAGCTCTCAAAAGCTTTTGTCTCTAGGATTCACTTTGTCTTCCTCTTTTGTTTTTTGAGATAGGTTTTTAAAATAAGGCTTAGATCTAGTGTTTAGGAAGACTTCATATTCATCTTCTTTCTCTGTTTCATAATCATATTCATCGTCATAATATTGGTCAGCTAGGTGAATATCCCTAGATTTCTCAAATTGTGTATTTCAGTTAGATCTTGGTTGTTGAGGTTGAAAACATTCCTTACTGAAATGTCTAACTTTTCCACAATTAAAACATAATAGATTTGTTTGCTGTGATTTTCTTTGTGTATTAAAAAAAAATTTCAGTTATTATTAAAATTTCTTTCATTAAAATTTCATTCATTAGATTTCTTTCATTTTTAAAGTTTCTTTTCCTTAGGGATACTTGATGTTGAGCTAACAAGGTAGTTATCAAATTAGCATAATTAAGAGACAACTATTTTATTTATTTCGTTAATTCATCAATTTCATTACTAGCAATGGTATTTTTAGGAGTAGGTAAAGTAATACTAGTAGTTGTATTAGGTTTTTAGACATTTTACCGATTGCAAAGTTGTAACCAATTTCAATGGTTCTTGCTGAATTTACTGTGGCATCCAAATCAGCTGTATTTTGTAAATATATAAGAGAGATATATGTAGGATTGAGTCCTATAAGGAATATTCTTTTCTTTTGAATATTATCTGTCATACTGATTTCCTATAAGAAATCAAAATAAGGAAATGATACATTTTTTATAAGCTTTGTATACGTAATTAATGATTCTATATCAAAATTCTGTATGTTTTATAATGATTTATTTTTTTATAATTTTTTAAAAAATTAATG